ACCGAAAAGGACACCATCGCTTGCCAACCTTACAAAACCGTGATGTCATGGACATAGTTCTGGAAATTTCTGGAGTAGACTAGAAAGCCTTGGGGTGTTAGCTCATGAAGACTGTGGAAAAATCTAGGAGAGATGCATAGAAGGTCTTGGAACATTAACGAAGTCCTTGGAATAGTCTAGAATGTATTAGAAAATACCCGAAGGATGGAGAACATTATAGCCTTCTCTAGGATACGAAAGAACAATCTAGAGGCATAAGGATGCTTGTGAATAGATATAAAAATATCTAGAATAGTCTAACATGTAAGAACTATATAGCGATATCTAGAATGTTCTCGTAAGGAGATAAAACACTAGTATAAATAGGAGTGTAATAATTTACTTCAAACCATCAAGAAAGTTGTCTTGTATACTTGAAGAGTTCTACAACAATACACATACTTGTTTTCTTATTGAAGTCTTTAGCCTTAGTTTCTTGTTTGCTAGTTCATTAGTACATCAAATAAGCGAAGTTTGTCTGACTTAGTCGGCAGTACGCTAAGTCGTACTTGATATTGATTAGTCAAAAGAGTCATTCTCTAAAAGGAGCCTCAACTGTGAGTAATATCACTACTAACCCTTCTAAATTGATCACATCAACATTCAAAATACCCTCTTCATGGACAATCTAATCATAATATACGATATAGGTAAAATACTAAATCTCAATCAAGTAAAGAGACTAAACTCCATCACCCCATATTTGATATCATAACCTCTCAGCCCTAGTAAAAATATAGTAAAATGTACATGTCTTTTTATTTGTTGAAAAGTCGAAAACTTATAAAATTGTGAGAATGTGAGAAATATATAAAAGACAAAACTTCAAAAATGGTCCCTGTGGTTTTCGAAAATATCAAGTTTAATCCCTAAGTTCAAAAAATCTCACAGATGGTCCCTGTAGTTTCAAAACTTTTAACAAACAGTCCCTTAGCCACATAAAAAGACTAATATGCCCTTTCTATTTCTTTTTAGAATTAATTTTACCTAATCATATTTAAAAAAAAATAAAAAGACAAAATAAATAATTCATTGGGCCCACCTCTCTCTCTCTCTCGTGAAAGTCTTTGTCATCTTCTTCTACTCAATTCCCAACACCCTTTGACTGATAAAAAAACGGGCACTTCATTCACATCAGTTCATAGCCCCAACAGCTTGATTTTTAAACATCACCACTGCTCCACCACTACTCCGCCATAGAACCATATGTATCAAATGTGAATCACCAACGTTGGCCACCGTTTGCCAACCAACAACCCCCCTTTTCCCTCTCCTGCTCGACAATCAATCCTAAAAGCAATAACACCAGCAGAAATCGAGCGAAGGCAAAAATCGAGGGAGGTTCTTCGATCCTCGTCTGATCGAGAAGGGAGAAGCAAGAATGGAAAACAACAGTAGGTGGGGGTGTTCGTAAGGAAAGAATCCGACGAACCAAGGCTGCCGCCCCTGTTTCAGTTTCTCTCCTTCCTCCCACATTCTTCCATATCGATCAACAACTCAAAACATCCCCTCGTTTGCAGTGGTCCTCAATTTTGGCTTCGATAAAGTGAGAGGAAGAAGAACCGATAAACTAGCGAGCTGTTACAACTCCCCAGCCATCCTCACTTGGTTCTCCGTCACCTCCAGCACCTCCCCTCTCTCCGCCTACTGTTGGTGATTTGAAGCCACAGCTCGGATGAGTGAGCTATCAACCGAGAAGGAGCTCATCGGAAAAACCGACTGCTCTTCCCTCTTCCACCATTATAGTCGCCTCCACCTTTTCCCCCCTTGTGACTGCTTAACTAGTGCATAACCACACTCCACCATCGGAGCTTCCTGATCGCAGCCTTCCATTCGTGATTTCAGCTTCTCCGAACAGACGAAGACGGAGACCTGTTCCCTTAGCTCTCAACCGGAGATGATGCAAGTTAAAGCCTCAGAGGGTCGCCGGAGATCGACGACTCTGTCTCTCCTCGCGATTTGAATGACCACCATCGAAACATCTCATCGCTTCCGATTTGTTCGTTTCTCCAAATCCCCAAACAGATGAAGAAGACGATGTGCGTTTTTTATGTTGAGAGATAGAGAGAGACAGAGAGAGAGAGAGAGAGAGCAAGTAGGCCCAATGAATTATTTATTTTGTCTTTTTATTTTTTTTAAATAGGATTAGGTAAAATTAATTCTAAAAAGAAATAGAAAGGGCATATTAGTCTTTTTATGTGGCCAAGGGACTGTTTTTTTTGAAACCACAAGGACCATCTGTGAGGTTTTTTGAACTAAAGAATTAAACTTGATATTTTCGAAAACCACATGGACCATTTTTGAAGTTTTGTCTATATAAAATTTAGAACCATGTTGCAAGAAAATTAGAAAAAGTTTCAAATTGTGGGCTTAAGTATTATTTTGATATTTTGGAACTTGTAATTGATTATTTAGAAGGTTAGTGGCTGTAGAAGTGATTTTTCAAAATAATAATAATAATAATAATAATAATAATAATGAAAATGTTACATGATAATGTTATATGTAGGATTATTGTCATGAAAACCCTATAAATTCTTACTTTCTATTTTGAATGGCCACTGAACTATTTTGTATATTATAAGTCATTAAAGTATCAAATTATATGTCAAACAAAATCCTTTTGCAAAAAATGAAAAGGGCTATCCAGTAAAAGAAAGTTGATGTGGCATTTGACCATGTAAAAGGCTTATGTGGACTTTGACCAAGGGTTAACGTTGACTTAAATGAATCATGATGTGGAACTGAGTTGAACTTAGTCTCCATTGTCTTTGTCTCTCCAAAATCCAACAAGATTTCTTTCTCCATGGAGCTTGGACTCGTTGTCTTCATCAAAACACTTGAGTGAAAGCCACCATAAAGGAATAAGTGGAAGCTACACAATCATCTTCTCTTTTGGCAATTCTTCCATGTCAACTTATAAATCCAATGATGCTTCTTTGCTCGTTGATCACTCTATAACTCCATAACCAATTACCAGTCTAAACTCTTCGCATTGCAACGAAGAAAGGCTCATGAATGATTCAACAAATAAGGATTCACTTCATGTTCTTCGGTGAAATTATGGAGCAAGATGTTTCTGTTTTACCGGATCTTAGTGTGCTCTATTTCTCCGGACTTCGTCATGCGTTCCAGAAGATTCTATTTTCGTTTGAAGATTGTACATGTAGCAACACAGGGTTTTAATACAGTGACTGTTTCCACCGGTTGGACTTACGATTGTGTTTCAATCATAAATTATTGAAATCCGACAATCTCGTCTACCCAAAAATTAGGGAAAAACTAGCAACACCAGAGCTCGTCCCCAATTTGAATCTCCGAAAAGTTATTAAGCATACTTGCATCGTTCCTGGAGTTTTGAATCATGAAATTTAAAAAATCAGACACGTGATATTTCTTCCACGATCCTCAATGGTAGTCCTTCATATGTCGAAGCGATCAAGTTCCTCAATGAATGTCTAATAAGAAGATTACGTAACGGAACATGGAAACAAAAAAGCATGATAGCTTATGAAATATGATTAGTTGCCAAACCAATAATTTATAATCGACTTTGTTTGGTCGGAGCCGTAGCAATTCCTCTTCGTTCTTCTATTAACTCTAGTTTTGTCAGTTGATTCAACTATCCAAAATGACGCCATTACAGGTCTATTCAATCTTTCAAATCATTCAAACGAGAAAAAAATGATGATCAATAACGACGGACTAAAGGTAGTCCTCGAGGTTTTAAAAAATAGATTAAAATAAAAATCTAAACAAATATCAGCTGCACTAGGGGGTGAATTTAATAAGGTGAGAGTGGAAACACGTGCCCCCAATTGTTGGAAAATTTCCTTGACTTTATGGTAGATATCAAAATTCTCTCTTAAAAGAAATTAGAGGTAAAATTGTAAACTTTCTTGATTTCGTTTATTTTCCTTTCAACTTGGGAATACATTTTTTTAACTGTCTTTCTATTTCCTTAGAACTTGGGAACACGAAAAAAGTTATTATTTTCCTTTCTATCTCTTTCATTTATCTTCATATATTCCTTCCTTTTCTTTCCTTTCTTTACTAAAACTCGGAAATTCGACGTTAAATTCAAAACTGTCTTTTTGGGGTTTTGATAACTATAATTTAGTATATATTAATATTACTATATATGACCAGCTAACTATTATAAATATACCCATATATTTCAAACACTTTAATATTTTTAATATTTGTAGGAGTATGTTTTGTATCCGTATACCACGTGAACTATTTCAGGTTACAAACGTGTTTTTTAAAATTTTCTACAAAGTTTTATTTTTTTATAAAAATTCGGTGTCTAAATTTTTATATATGTTTTACAAATTTATTTTATAAGTTTTATGTATCATTGTTTATTCCATGACAAGTTATTTTCTATTCTTTTTATAGGTTTGTTTAAAAAAAACATTTTTGATATTATTATTATTATTATTATTATTAATTTGCTTTTTTGGATGTTTTTGTTACTACTTTTGTCTTTAGTTTTTTCTTAATATTTTTATAATTGCTATAAAAAAGAGTGTAAAAAACAAAATTGGTCCATATTTTTTGTTACCTGCTCTAAAAAAATGTTATAAGGAAACGAATCTTCAAAAAACAAGTTTTTAAAAGCATGCCAAAAAAGTGGGAAAATGAATCTTTAGAAAGTATTGAAAACAAACTTATAAAAATATTAAAAGAAAAAAAAACTTTGTTTTCTTATAAAAAAAATTAAAATTTAAGATAAATTTGTAAAAACAAAATATGAGATAACCTACAAATCTGTCATAACTTATAAATCTATCTATAATCTATAATATATTATATAATAACGAATTCAAATACTGATTATCTTTATAAATATTATAATAATATGAAAAATGCTATTTAAATTTTAAATATATTCAAAACAGTTAATTGACCGATTAATCCTATCAAAAACTATTTTTTTTTTGTGATTATCCTTATCCATGAACCGTAATATAGTGAATTTCGTTACAATCTCTTCGACTGAATAACAGAAACAGAGAAAATTGTGGCCTCTTCTCTCCATAAAAACCGAATCTGGCATCTCCAGATGTCTTGTTCGAATAGAACTTGAAAAAATTGCAGAGCAGAAATCATCACAATGTCACTCAAATCTCAGATTCTTTGGAACTGTATCGCATTACTCAATCATCCTCTTCAGAAACAAACGGTAAGACAATTCCACCAATTCCAATTCCGTCCAATTCCCACCACTTTCCATCGTCATCTCCGCCCTACTCCTCCTCCTCTGTTCCGACCTCATCTGTTTAACATGTCTTCACAAGCTTCCCCTGATCCGCCATCGGATTCATCAGTCCCCATTAAAACAGTAAGTCGAACTTCTATTTAAAATCTTTTAGCTTTAGCTATTTTACCCTAATCTGTTTCGTGAGTGGTGATTACAGGTGAAAGTGGTGGCTACCGGTAGGGTTCAGAGGGTGCATTACCGGGACTGGACTGTGCAGAATGCAACGGAATTAGGTTTGAAAGGGTGGGTGAAGAACCGAGGAGATGGCTCTGTAGAAATTTTGCTTTCCGGAGAAGCTGATAAGGTTGACGAGATGCAGGAGCGATGTCGAACAGGGCCACCCCTTTGCGTAGTTACGAAGTTTCAATCTTTCCCTTCCACGGAAGATCCAGGGACAGGGTTTCAACGCCTACAAAGTTATTGATAGCATATATTCTCTATTACTGTTTTTACTTACAATGTCGAACTTCTAGAACCATGTTTGTGGGTTTGTCTTCTTCGTTTTCGTTTTAACATACTTCGTTTGTGTTTACTAAGTTTTGGGCTGATAGATTGTTATGTGTGCTTTCAAGAAATTATAACCATTGGGATTAGAGATTAGAATAATGTGTTGCATTCGACGAAATATCCAACTCAACCACTGAAATAATCTTTAGTTTGTTGAATTATCAAATGATTAACAAAGATGCTTCTGTGGACAAAAATCACTCATGAAAGTTGGATATTGTTGAGACCTAGTTTGTCTTTCATTCAGTAGTTTAGTATCTATCTTTAGTGTTGAGATTGGTGATACTAAATTACTATTTTGTCCTTTTTTACAGTTTTTGTTTCTTTTTGTAAAGAGCACATTATAATCCTTTCATGATTTTTCTAGATTAATATAGCTTCAAATTTCCGAGTAAAATTTTGCAATTGGTGGTCATGTATTTATAATAATTAGCTTCTTAAAATTCTAGTGGCTTGGTAATTAAAATATTGAATTAGGGTTGGTTTAGGAGACCTTAAGAATATAAAGATCTTTAGGTAAAGGAATAAGGGGGAAAGAATCGAGTCTAGAAAACCTACTTCTCGAATAATAGACAATATTATATAATTTTCTTTCGTTTAATGATTTATAAATAAGAATCCAACCTTGTTTTTATCAAACTGAAACTATTTTTTAATATGTATATTGTTATATGAATGTGCCAAGTATCCATAAAATTAGTTATTTGTTATATATATAAAAGGTTAGTTTATTTAATTATAGTGGCGTGATAATCTACTCTAACAAATGAATATTTTTTTGTCATATGTCACACTCTCATTCAATTTGTCAAATGTCGTTTTGTAGTTATTTTAAATTATTTTTTTTCCACATGTCATTTTATGGGTTTTCCTGTAGTTTTAAATTCCACATAATATTTTAATGTAATAATTATAAATAATAAATATAGTAATAAATGGATATCAATTTTATTAATAGACCTACCTTCTAATTTTAAAATTCCCAAATTAAAACTCATTATTTTCTTTTGTTTATTTATTTAAATTTAAAAAATAAAAAACACATTTCAATTTTAATAATTTTTTTTATTTTCTTATAAATAATAAATGTAATAATAAATAGATATCAATTTCATTAATAGATTTACCTTCTAATTTTAAAATTTCCAAATTAAAACTCTTTATTTTCTTTTGTTTATTTATTTAAATTTAAAAGATAAAAAACACATTTCAATTTTAATAGTTTATTTTTTTTCTTATAAATTCAAAATTTTCAAATATTTCTTTAAGTTAATCAATATAATATATGAATCTCACAACTAGTAAAAATATTAAATTAAGATTAGCTTAGGAAAATTTTTAGAGAGCTCCTACGTCTTGAAATTGTTATGTAATTTTCTTTTGTTCTCTTCATCATAGTCAAACACAAAAACACAAAACTCAAAATTGTGTTGGGCCAAACAAAAGGTAAGAATTATGTTGGATTCTTGAACTCTTTCTTTTGCATCACATTACATATTGGCTTTTACTTTGAAATGAATCAAATTTATTGGGTTTAATTGCTTTGGGCTAGTGTTTGATAGTTTTTTTTCGGGTTTAATTGATATCCTTTATGTTGATTGGCCACCTCTAATAAAACTGAGCATTGGTTACTTGAATTGATTAGTCAAGTATCATGGAGTTTTCTTTTCCCTTGAATTTAGCAAATATAGTAGTTTTTTAACAACAAAATGAAATGGTAAATGATAAGAAGATGGATTTTTTTATATGATATCAATATTAACTTATAAGCTTTTGCAAATTAAAATAATCTCATCACCCAAAAAAAAGGGATAAACATGTCAAGCAGATTGTTTTTTTTTTCACGATAACAAGAATATAGTTAATAAAAAAGATAAGACAAAGCACAAACCAACAAATTTCTTTATTTTAGATGTCTAACTTTATAGAAGATGCGACTAACCCAATATAATGGTCGTAGGGGACTCAAGCCTTTGTCGATTGAGAGGAGCCATTTGCCTCACTTAGAAACGCTTATCACGACCTCTCTAGTGTAAAAGGGTAAGGCTCTCACCCTATCTTTTCGAAACAATTAGATTTCAGATTAAAACTATAATTTTTCCCATCGCACGTTGCGATGACCATAATAAATTTAAGAAGATAAACACTTTCAGTAGCAATATAAATTTAGGAGGACTAAAGTTGCCAAACCACAAAAGTCAAGGACCAAATCCATGCATAGAAACCTAGGAAGACTTAAGTTGCCAAAACACAAAAGTCACGGACCAAAGCCATGCCACACGAAATGCATAAAAATAAGCATAAAAACGTAAAAAAAAAATTCGTCAAAAAGTAGACAAACCCAAATTTATGCCAACACGTACATAAAAAACAAGTTTAAAAAAAAAAAATTAGCGAATGAAAGTTTTAAATTTACGTCGAAACGTTGACCTCCTCGAATTTATATCGACACATACATAAACATAAACATGTAATAGATTAGTTTATTTTTTAACTTAAAGAGTTTTACAAAGTTCAAAACCAAAAGGGTCAAAATGATATTTTATAAAGTTGATGAGTGGTAACTGTAGGGGAATCAAAATATATATAGGGGTGGACACAAGATTTCATATTAGGGATTGCACGAGAAAGTCAGGGGTTGCACGATAGTAAGAAAAAAATTCGAAAATTTTCGGAAAATTTTACACTCCATCCAAAAAAGGCAGGGGTTGCATGAGCCACCGTGTGCTCTATACTAAATCCACCACGAAAGTTTACAAAATAGAAGGTGTGAGAGTGACATTTTAGAAAGTTCAAATTTTATTAAAGGGGTAAAAACGATATTTTAAAAAGTAGATGAGTGAAAAATGGAAGAGAAGAAAAAGACATTTTAGAAAGTTCAAAATTGAGGGGATTAAATTGATATTTTACAAAGTATAAGGATAAAATACATTACAAAGTAAAAAGATGGAAATGAAAAAGATATGAAATAGAAAGATTAACCAAAGTTGGTGGAAAACTCAATTGTCACGATAGGCTTGGATTTGTCACACTATTTAATTTTCTTGTCATTTATGTGGGTTGTAGAGTTTTTAAATTGAAAAAAAATATATATATAAAAAAATATAGCCTTTCAAAGAAGGGAAAATCTCGAGATACTATTGCCAGAGGGTATGTTGAACTCGGCAATGTTGCAGTGGAGGCGCGTGTGCTAAGTGTTGAGTAGGCAATTGTCGAGTGGTTGTCCTCCTGATAGCCTAGTGGAGTATCTAAAACATTTTGCATAACGTTACGTTATCTTCGAGAGAACTGTGGATCAAAATCAATACAAAATCTTCTTTAAAACACATTCTATATACCGAGCAATCTAAAATCAAGTTTTGGACAATTTACCTAATCAGGCCCAATATTATGGTGCTTAGAATGCATGTATGATCATGATAGATGCCATGGGCATGAATAATACACAATACATGCATGAAAAGAAAATGCCATAAAGTCAAATAATCATAGTCAGAACTGAGTCAGATCCTTGCAAGGTCATCAATTTATTTGGTTAAGTGTCATTTATAATGAAGATGACATGTACCATCATCAATTATTCCTTTGCGATGAGGTTGACATGTACCGTAACCAAATATATATATATATATATATATATATATATATATATATATATATATATAAAATATGGTTTGTAAATCAATTATTCTTATTAGTATATTTATTTTTTTTTAATTATTATTTCAAACAAACCTTTTCCTATTTTGAAAATGACAATTTTTCAAGAGTTTATTTAAACAGTTCACATAAACAAACATATTTATTTTTCAAAAGTTTATTTAAACGGTTCACATATATAAGTAGAATGCTAATATACATATCCCTTATTCACATAAATTGTTAAATCATAAGAGTACACACAATTTCACTCACAGGGTACACGAATCAATTTGAAGTTATGTATGAAATTACCCCAGTATATATTTTGTTATCATTAAATTTAAAACTTTTAATAGGTTACGTACCTCAATAAACTGAAGAAAGATAATGATGACATCAAATCATCACGTCCCTTATATGTTATGGACAGAAAACAAGCTATAATAGCCTATACAACGGGTCACGATCCATTGAGAATAAGCTAATTTCAACCCGTCCCGTCATTTCGGGATATAAAATAAATACGTGTTTTTTTTTAAAAAAGGAAAAAAAAAAAAAAAACTTAGACGTGTTAAAGCGTTTGTTTGTTTTTTTTTTTTTAATTTTTTGTAAGATTTTGAAAACTGGATCGGAGAGACGACTAGTTCGATGATTCAATTGGTCCAAACGGTTGAACCGGTCTAGAAAATCGGATGATGTCATAATTATATTATTATTAATTTTAATTATATAAAATATAAAAAGTTAAAATATATATATTTTTAAAATTCCCGGTTTTTACCGGTTTACATGACGAACAGTTTTTTGGCTCTAAGAACCGTATCCAAGACCGGTCCCTGGTTAAACCGACCGGTTCAGTCCGGTTTTCAAAACATGGTTTTTTGTACGAGCAACATTTGTGCTTTCCTTTGATTATCATTATATTGTTAGAGTTTAAGCACTCCAACAATGATTCAAACGATTTTACACAAAGTAATAAAATGTAAACGAAAAAGTAAGAACATAATAGGTGGTTCGAATATCAGGATGATCGGCAATGTCCACAACAAACACGATTGAGTGTTTTATTGATTTCTGCAAATGGTTTACGTACGTTAGGTTATACAAATGCATGGAATATAAATATTAGTGAGTTTAGCTAATGCAATAAGATCAAACTCGGAAACTCTGATAAATATGGTCAATGGCGAAATCTGAAAGCGAATCTGATTTAACTAGTCCATGAAAAATTTCTTCGGTGTGTTTTAGCAAGATGAAAAGACGAATCAAGCTCATCAATGGTTGATATAATTTTTGTTTATATGCGGACTAAGATGTCGTTAAAACACTTCTTTACCAATTTTCGTATCCTTATTAACTCGGCATTGTTAAATGAATTTAAATAATAAAAAATGTTATATCTCAATTTAATATTCCTAAGTTATTTTGAATAACAATAATAATCTAATATCTAAATATATAATAATTTAAATAAACCTAACTAATTCCAGAACGATAAACTTTATTATCCTAAATCTTGTTTACATCGTTAAAGTTAGGTTGGTCTCCTTTTCTCTTTTTAATATCGTCTCTGAATATTTGTCATTATACTACACTGATCAAAATGGATTT